CGCAAACAAACGAAAAAAGTTATCGGTACTCGCAGCAGCCACTTCTTCAAAAGTGATGCCTCGTAAAGATGCAATTTCTGCTGCCACATATTTCACATAACTAGGTTGATTGATTTTACCGCGATACGGTACTGGGGCAAGATAAGGTGAATCGGTTTCCACTAAAACTCTATTTAGTGGCACTTGTTTTGCCACTTCTTTAATAGTCAATGCGTTTTTAAATGTGACAATACCTGAAAACGAAATATAAAAGCCCAGCGCTATCGCTTGTTTTGCTACTTCTAAGCTTTCTGTAAAACAATGCATCACACCGCCCACTTGATGAGCATTTTCTTCATGCATAATGCGTATAGTATCTTCCGCTGCGTTACGAGTGTGGATGATAAGCGGCTTACCACAAGCGATAGCCGCGCGAATATGCGTGCGAAAACGTTCACGTTGCCATTCTAAATTGCCTGAAAGCCTGAAATAATCTAAGCCGGTTTCACCTACAGCGATAATTTTTGGATGATTGGCTAATGCAATTAATTCATTCACCGAGGGTTCAGCTATATCTTCGTAGTCAGGATGTACGCCGACCGAGGCAAAAAAATGTGGATTATCTTCAGCCAAAGCAAGCACTTGCGGAAAATCTGCTAATGTGACTGAAATACATAGCGCGTAAGCTACACCATTATCTTGCATGGCCTGTTTAATGGCAGGTAAGTTTGCTTGTAGTTCAGGAAAATTTAAATGGCAATGCGAATCAACCAGTATCATTAATTAAAGCTTATAGTAGCTACAAAGTGTGTGTTGGGCGCGAAGATTTTAAAGCACCTGCTAACAAAGCTTCAATTTTATTTTTAGCTTCAACACCGCCATCTTTTGCACTAAATTGTACGCCGATGCCTTGTGGTTTACCCGCTTGCGAAGTTGGCGTTACCCAAACTACATGCCCCATCACACGCAGTTTTACTGGATCATCTACCAAACTGAGTAGCATAAAAACCTCTTCGCCAATTTTAAATGACTTAGCTGTTGGAATGAACAAACCACCGCCTTGAATAAAAGGCATGTACGCAGCATAAAGCGCAGCTTTTTCTTTAATGGCTAATGACAGTATGCCTGATTTGCCAGTTACTGTGTTTTTAAACTCGCTTTGGGTATCTTCTGCCATATCTAATCTCTTTTAAACTGCGTATTGTTTTGTTACAAACAGTTTGGTGTAATCTACTAGCAAACTCTCCATCTGCAACTCATGGTTTAAAGGATGCTGAGCCAATAATCGCAGTACATCTAGTTTTTTTTGCAGTTGAAACAATGCACTTAAGTTTACCTT